TACATGTAAGAATGGTTTTTGTTTGTTCATGTAACTTGTTCACTTGGAGCTTTGTTCTCGCTATTTTAATTAGGCTCATATATGTTTCATTAGTGATGAGTTTAGTAATATTCAAGAGCCGATTACATGAATTGCTTTCTTTTTTTTGTTAATTTTGGAAACATTTTGCAGCGTTTTTGGAAGAATTGGAGCAACTACTTAAAGGTATAGCCATGATGAAGGAGCTGACACTTCGAACCAGAGACTACTTAGTCTCTTTTGGAGAGTGCTTGTCTACAAGGATTTTCGCAGCTTATCTTAATAAAATCGGTGTCAAAGCACGCCAAGTATGTCCACCATCATATTTTAGTATTAGTTTAAGTTTCTATCAATATATATTTTGTTTTGTTGACTAATTAGTAAAAAACTGATATCTTGGACACCGGTGGACATACAGTTACGTAGACATGGTAATTAAACAATAAAACGCTGTCTATATACGTGTGGCTGGAACAATCTCAAGTTAGTTCAGTTGAAGTTATCTGAGTACTAGTATTTAGGCTATAGTCTGTTGAAGGCGAGAAAATTGATTAATTTTTGGCTAAATTTTTAGAGCTAATATATATTTTTTTCTAATTTTGTTTGGGCTATAGATTAATTTTTGGCTATGTCTCTTTTATTCTCTTTGTGACAGTGAATAGCCAATGGCAGAGGCTATGGAGACAGAGATGGACTTCTCAGACGGTGAACAACAAACCAATGCTAATAATAACAATAACAGAGCTTCTCTTGTTGCTCTTTATGGGAACTCATCCCTTGGATTAGAGAAACAACATCATCATGAACAGATGCTGCTGCCATTAATCATTCCTGGGTCGCTGCTAATCAGGTTCTTGCCCACTCAACCCTCCTTTTGGGTTTCAATCTCAAAAATATGCTTATAAGTGGACAATGTAATGATACAGGATGTTGCTATGGCATTGTTGTTTGGAATAGGATACGCAGGGATAATCTTCGAAGAGTCTTTAGCTTTTAATAAAAGTGGCTGTTAGTCTCTGGGTTGTGCGAAGCATAGGGGTAAGAGAGTTTACTTACTTGCTAATGTTTGTTGTTTGTTGGATATATTAATGATAATAGATTCCTTGTAACACAGGGTCCTTCAGCTGAAGTAGTTGTTTCAGAGCTTCAACATGCAACGTCTGAGGTAAGTGAGATTGTGTTTTTCTTACTCGGCGCAATGACCATTGTGGAGATAGTTGATGCTCACCAAGGATTTAAGCTTGTTACAGACAATATCACCACTCGTAAGCCCAAGACGCTTCTATGGGTCGTAAGTAGTGATATATCTCTAGATTGCGTCTCAGTCTCTCCTTCTTTAAGGATTTACTCTTAGTTGACTTATGATGGATGGTGTGTCACAGGTCGGCTTTGTGACTTTTTTCCTCAGTTCGATTCTAGACAACCTGACGTCTACCATTGTCATGGTTTCTTTACTCAGGAAACTGGTTCCTCAATCAGAGTACCGCAAGTATGAAAACTTTTTTCTTCACTCTCCTATTAGTTACTTTCTTGGTTAAGTTGGTCATGGTGAGAAACATATTAGCTCTGTAGATATAGGCCTTAAGATTCTGAAGTTTCCATATATCGGTCATGTTATACCAGTCTGTTTTGTGTAGAGTAGTACTATGCTCACATTAACGTTAATGCTCATGCTCAGTAACCAATGTCAGAATTTTAGGAGCTGTTGTGGTAATAGCAGCAAATGCAGGAGGAGCATGGAGTCCAATTGGTGATGTTACTACAACTATGCTATGGATTCATGGTCAAATATCCACCTTGCCGACTATTCAGGTTCTCCTTCTCTTCTGAGATACTCACATAATATGTTCTTTCTTTCAAAGAACGATGAATGTTATGAAGAAGGTTACAGGCCTAAATCCCTTAAATTTAGCTCATGTGTTTTGTTAGCTGGATAAAAAGCTTGATTCTGCTAGTGGCTGGAGTTTCCAAGTTACAACTAGGGTCTTAGATTATTAACTTTTGAAGCTGTCTGTTATATATATTCCTAATGGAGGTTTACTTGCTTTCCTTTTAGGGCCTTTTTATACCTTCGGCCGTTTCTCTCGCTGTTCCACTAGCCCTCATGTCCTTCTCCAGGTTAAAAACTCATTTCCTTGGATTCCATCATCTCGTAAAATGTTTACACCGCAGAGCCTGATTGATGTAAGTTTTTGGTTTCCCTTTCCTCAGTGAAGTAAATGGAAAGGGACAAGATTCATCAGATGTATTGTCTTCTGAAAAGATGGCTCCAAGAGGGCAACTAGTTTTTGGAGTTGGACTTGGAGCGTTGGTTTTTGTTCCAGTCTTTAAGTCTCTAACTGGATTGCCTCCATACATGGGTATATTGCTGGGTCTTGGAGTTCTTTGGATCTTGACAGACGCCATTCACTACGGTGAATCCGAAAGACAAAAGCTCAAAGTACCTCATGCCTTATCACGAATCGACACACAAGGCGCTCTGTTTTTCCTCGGGATTCTATTATCTGTTAGGTATTGAATCAACTGATCATCTCCAAACTCTAATGTTCTCTTGTGTAGACTTGTGTAATCATTTTTTTTAAGAACTCTAAAATAAGAGACTACAAGCAAGTGATGTTACTTATTAGTCTTCTTTTGTGTAGACTTACTTGTATAGACTTGTGTAATCAGTTTTTTTAAGAAACCTAAAATAAAAGACTACTATTGGAGCCATAAAAAAGTGATGTTACTTATTAGTCTTCTTTCGTGTAGATTTATTACTTACAAAGAAAAATATAACATAAGTCCATCACAAGTTCAACACAGACTAAAGACCTACAAATCCAATAGAAGACAACTCAAAGCAATGAAACACTAATACACAACTCATAAGTTCGACACATAACACTAACACATCTAGAGTTTTTCACCACCCATTCTCGGTATACAATGAGTAATTGAGCCATCTCCTACAAAAAAAAAATATGGTTTACATAATTAGCAAACAAAAATTTCATGTTTGATAAAATTATAAAATAGATTTACAAGTACATCTACAATTATTAGCAAACAATATAGTTAAACCAAAAATTATATCATAGACTTACAAGTACGTCTACAAATTTTAAGCTAACAACATAG